ATACAAACAAAATCGTGGTAATCTTTGTGAAATGATTAGGTACAATCAGTTATCAAGCACTTAATTACCTACACACTTAAAATTGACTCCCTGATCAAAGAAACGAGTCATAGTTGACATTGATATTGAAACCTTCTCTATCGTCTTATCGTCAATTTCAACTTTCTTCGATAGCACGATACGAAATACCGCGGTAAATTTTCTAATGTGGTAAACAGACGATTCTCGCTAATTGTTTATCGTACTGATTGCCTAACGCGGTTGTACGTCGGTTGGAACTGTCTTCCACGTAATAATTAGTCACAGAGCACTGTTATCGTGAAGTGCATCGACGTAGTTTCTTCGCTCGTTTTACACAATATTTTCACACAACAATGGATCATGATTTTCGTGGTCCTTACAGACGAGGTTGATTAACCCTTTCGCTGCGGCAGGTTTCAAGTACGTAACGCGCGTTGCAGGCGGTAGATGTTCGATCGTGGTCGCAAAAGCTTTTTTTTTTGACGTTTTTAAGTATTTGAAGGATTTTTAGATTGAAACTTTTGAAAGTTTGAAAATTAGAAATTTTTAAATTGCAATTTTCAAATTAAAATTTTTGAAAGTTTGAAAATTAGAGTAACTAAAATTTTTGGAAGTTTCGAAGTTAGAAGTAACAATTTTTAAAATACAATTGTGAAATAAAAATTTTGGAAACTTTTAAAATTAGAAAGTTTTAAATTATAATTTCTGCAAGTTTCAAAATTAAAGATTTTAAAGGTTTTAAAATTGAAATTATTAGAAGTTGCAAAGTTAGAAATAAAAATGTTTAAATTAAAATTTTCGAAAGTTTCAAAATAAAAATTATCGTCATATCGTTAAATTAAGATGGAAGTGCGTGATGGGCAGAAAATTAAGAATTAAATTAACAGCTCTCCAGCGCGAGGAAGTATTCAAAGCGTCGATATGTGCCAATAGTAGTGGAAGGGTTAAATTCTTGGTACAGGATTTGCAGTCCATCGTGGATTCGTTCTCACATACGAGTAAAATTCATTGCCTGGACAAAGAGTACTCCTAACTTGTCTGTGTCCGATGACGTGGTAATCCTTGCTTATTTTACCCAGAGACACTCCATAATCGATCAGTTCATTCATCGCCTTCAGAGCCTTCTCGTTAGGAACGAAATCTGTGTGGAAACGTTATATGTTAGGTACAATGGATTATTTTCAGGTTTAAATAAAACATTTACTCAGTGCTACTTGTTGCTCAATGTTGATTATGTCAAACTTAAAGATTTCCTTTTACGAATTTTCTATATTTTCGAATTTTTCAGTATCAGGAACTTAATATTCGTGAAATATTTTCTAAATTTATTGATAGTCAAATTTTTTTAATTTTGGAATTTTTCAA